GCAGAAAGTTCGGTCACTGGTCTCGCAAATGCCCGCAGGGTCACCCAATGTCAACTGGTTTCAGCGGAGCTTTCCGGCTAAGAATAAACAACAAATAAGGACTCAACTCCCCACTTCCTCCCTACTTCAGGGGAAGTAGCCACTGACAGCCTTATGCACAGCTTCGAAGCAGTTTCAAATACTGCATGCCTAAACAAAAGAAGCAGACCTTTGTCTGGGATACTGCCAGCAGATGGACCCTCAGCGCTGAGGGCACATGAAATGTGATTCAAGAGGAGCTGATTTCTTAGAGGGGAGGTGACCCAGGTGACTTGAGTCAGATAAAGCCTGTGGGAGTGTAGCCTTTAGCATCTTCATGTGCTGATGGAGCATGACTACCAATCACTTCAGTGGAAATTGATCAAACATGTCATTAAGATATATTGACAGCTATTGGAATGCAAAACTCAGAAACAAAGAGGAAGTAATTGGGAAATATGGTCTTCCTGATAGAAATGAAGCTAGAGATCCCATGATAGAATTTTGTAAAACCAACTTCTTCATAGGAAGTACCTTTTTTCAACCATACACATGGACTTCCCCAGATAGAATACACAGAAATCAAATTGACTCTATATGTCCGCAGACATGATGGAGAAGCTCAATATCAGCAGCTACAACCAGACCAGGGACCAATTGTGGAACAAACCATAAATTGTTCAAATGTAGGTGAAGGGTAAAGCTGAAGACAATGAAAATATGTCCACAGGAGCCAAAGTACAACCTTAAGTCTAACCCACCTGAATTTCAAGAACTGAGTTGACACAACGAACACTAATGCTAGAAGACTGCGGAGCTGTGGGAGGGTATCAAGACCACCATTCGTGAACACAGCAAAGGGTCATTAAAAAGACAAAAAAGAAAGCATCAAAGTGGATGTCAGAAGAGACGCTGAAACTTGCTCTTAATTGTGGAGCGGCTAAAGCAAATGGAAGAAAGAATGAAGTCAGGACCGGACCTGAAGAGGAGATTTCACAGGGCACCTCAAGAAGACAAAGACAAATATTATAATGAAATGTGCAAGGACCTAGAATTAGAAAGCCAAAAGGAAACACTCAGCACACCTGAAAGTGAAAGAACTCAAGACAAATTCAAGCCTCGAATTGCAAGCTTGAAAGATTCTACAGGTAAAATATTGAATGATGCAGTATCAAGAGAAGATGGAAAAAACACAGAGTCACCGTACCAGAAAGAAGTAATCGACAGTCCACCTTTTCCGGAGGTAGCATATGAGCAAGAACCAGTGTGCTAACAGAAGTTCAAGCTGCACTGAATGCATTAGCCAAAAACAACGTTTCAGGAATTGACGGAATACCCATTGAAATGTTTCAGAATACCCATTGAAATCATATCATCGGGAATAAGGGGAGTGCGTGATGGGGACCCAATGCCCATCTGTAGACAACTGGACATCCCTTGCAGAGGGGTAGTGGGGAGGAGATGAGTCACTCGGTGCAGTCTAGCATTAATGAAACTCACCACCTTCCTCTAGTTCTTAAACGCTTCCTCCCCCCACCTGTCATGGTCCCAATTCTACCTTGCAAACCTGGTTAGACCAGAGGATGCACAGCGGTACAGATGGGAACTGGAAACGCAGGGAATCTAGGACAGATGAACCCCTCAGGACCAGTGGTGACAGTGGCGATACAGGGAGGGAAGGGGGGCTAGAAAGGGGGAATCAATCACAAGGATCTACATATAACCTCCTCCCTGGGGGATGGGCAACAGAAGGGTGGGTGAAGGGAGACACCGGGCAGTGTAAGAAAAGATAAAATAATAATGTATAAATTATTAAGGGTTCATGAGGGAGGGGGAGTGGTGAGGGAGGGGTGGGGAAAAAGGAAAACAAGGAGCTGATTCCAGGAACCCAAGCGGAAAGTGAATTTTGAGAATGATGAGGGCAACAAATGTATAAGTGTGCTTTACACAATTGATGTATGTATGGATTATGATAAGAGTCGTATGAGCCCCAATAAAATGATTAAAAAAAGAAGTGTTGCATAAAGCTGAAGAAGCACTGGAAGCACTCCCTTGTCTATGCCAGGAAATTTGGAAGCCAGAAAACCTGGCCACTGACAGGAAGAGAACCCTATTTTTGCCCATTCCAAAGAAAGGTAACCCAACAGACTGCTCAAGCTATGGAACGATATTGTTGAGACCACACTTAAATAAAATTTACTCAAGATCATCCGACAACGGTTGCAATAGCACATTGACAGGGAACTGCCAGTTCAGGGCAATTCAGAAGAGGATTTAGAACAAGGGCGATCATTGCTGATGTCAGATGGATTTTGGCTCAAAACAGAGAATACCAGAAAAAATGTATACTTGTGTTTCACTGACTATGCAAAGGCATTCAACTGTGTGGGGCATAATAAACTGTGGATGACCTTGGGAATAATGGGAATTCCAGAACACTTCACTGTGATCATGAGGAACTTGAATATGGATCAAGGGGATACTGCATGGTTTAAAACAGGGGTCCTCAAACTATGGCCCCCGGGCCACATGCAGCCGCCGAGGACATTTATCTGCCTGCTGGGTATTTTTCCCCCTTTTGTTTTTTTACTTCAAAATAATATATGTGCAGTGTGCATAGGAATTTGTTCATAGCTTTTTTTTTACTGTAGTTTGGCCCTCCAATGGGTCTGAGGGACAGTGAACTGGCCCCCTGTTTAAAAAGTTTGAGGACTCCTGGTTTAAAATCAGGAAAGGTATATGTCAGGGTCAGGGTTGTATCTTCTCACCACACTTGTTCAATCTATATGTTGTGCAAATCATTAGAAAAGCTGGGTTATAGGAAGGCCTGTTAACAACCTGTGGTGTGCAGATGACACAGCCTTGCTTGCTGAAAACGAGGAATTGAAGCATTTACTGGTGAAGATCAAGGATTATAAACTTCAATATGGATTACAAGCTAAGTAAGGAAAACCAGAGTCGTGGACCAATAAATAACATCATGATAAATGGAGAAAGGGTTGACGTTGTCAAGGATTGTGTCTTTTTTGGATCCACAATCAATGCTTATGGAAGCAGCAATTAAGAGATTCAAAGATGTATTTCATTAGGTAAATCTGCTACACAAGACCTCTTTTGAATATTGGAGAGCAAGGATTTTACTTTCAGGACTAGTGTGTGCTTGACCCAAGCCATGGTATTCTCCGTTGCATCATATGCATGTGAAAGTTGGACATTGGATAAGGAAGACCTTAGAAGAATCGATGTATTAGAATTTTGGTGCTGGAAAATAACACTCGAAGTACAATGGACTGCTAAAAGGACAAACAGATGTGTATTGGTAGAAGTAAGACCAGAGTGCTCCTTCGAGGCAAGGATAGCAAGACTTCATCTTACATACTTTGGACGTATTGCCAGGAGAGACCAGTCTTTGGAGAAAGACATTATGTTTGGGAAAGTGGAGAAAAATAGGAAGTCCCTGATGGCATGAATTGACACCGTGGCTACAGCAATGGGCTCAGGCATAGGAACAATTGTGAGGATGACACAGGACTGCTCAGGGTTTTGTGCAATTGTGCCTCCTATGGGGCAACGCTGACTAGATGGCACCTAACAGTGATTGAAAGTGACATGACTTGGGTCAGGCACACCTTTGCCATTGAAGTGTTATCTTTGCTTTCTAATACTGAAGAGGTCTTTTGTGACAGATTTTTTTCAATGTTATACATCATTTGATTTTAACTGCTGCTACAATGGCATTACATGTTCACCCCAAAAGAATGAAATCCTCATTATGTTGGTAATTGGTCCAGTTGTTAAGATTTTATTTCATTATTGTGTTGCTTACTAGTACAGTTGTAAAGATTCTTCCTCCTTCTTCTCCTTCTCCTTCTCCTTCTCCT